GTGCAGGTCGCCCTGCAGGTGCAGCTTCCAGTGACCCAAGGACTGCTGGAATTGACACAGTAGGGTCAAGACATTCACCAGAGAACAGGGCATGATGAATACCTGTTGTTCAACTCATTGTTGTAATGGGCCAGGAATTCACGCAGTTCATTCCTGTCATTTGTCATCATCTGTAGGTGAAGTTTCAGTTTTTCCACCTGGTTCAGCTGCTCCTGCTCAGTGAGGAAGAAGGGTGTGGATGATGCCTTCCTAGCAGTCCCTGTAGGTACATAAACACAAGTGAATTTGTACAGATGAATGGCATAAGCCAAGAAGGTCATGTGGAGTCCCAAGAGGAGGCCTGAGGAAGAGGAAATGCATGGAACCCAGTGAAGCCCTCAAAGATCAGAGCAGCTATCCTTAAGCTGGGCCTCATAAGCCATGTGTCTGTCTCTAATCACTATGGCTAGATATATGCCTCAACCCCTACTGCAGGCCCACTGGCCCTGAAAGACATAAGCAAGGCCAGCCATGTTGGTTTGGAATTGTCAGCTTATACCTGATAGTTAGTGGTATTATGTTCTCCCAAATATTGTGCACCCTAATAAACTTATCTGGGTTCAGAGATCGGAACAGCCACTAGATGCAGAGGCTAAAAGTGGTGGCACTCATGCCTTTAATCCTAGCATTCTAGAGGCAGAAATTCCTCTGGATATCTGTGAGTTCAAGGCCACAATGGAAACAGCCAGGCATGGTGACTCATGCCTTTAATCCCAGGGAGTGATGGCAGAAAGCAGAAAGGTATATAAAGCATGAGGACCAGAAACTAGAAGCTTTTGGCTGGTTAAGCCTTCAGGCTTTTGAGCAGCAGTTCAGCTGAGAGTCACTGGGATGAGAACACAGAAGCTTCAAGTCTGAGGAAACAGGATCAACTGAGGAACTGTCGAGGTGAAGAAGCTGTGGCTTGTTCTGCTTCTCTGATCTTCCAGAATTCATCCCAATACCTGGCTCAGGTTTGAGTTTATTAAAAAGAATTGTAAGATTCATGCTACACTGATGTGATGCAAGGAAGTCCAGGAGTCCCTACTGCTTTTCACCTCCCAGCCCTGATAACCTGTGTCCACGACTAAAAGGAACTGAATGTCTCAGACATGGGTACATGGATGGAAAATTTCCCTCCTTGGTATTTACATCAGATATAAAGTGCAACAACATCCCATTCTGATACCACATTAGTGGTTCTGGGCCTCCTGTTGCATTCTTTGCCACTCAGAATGAACTGAAGGAGGTCACAGCACAGCAGCTGCAGCCTTGACCATTCCTGGCCCTCTGCCAACTAACCATCAGGAATCCTCCACCTTGGATCTGTTCTTTAGGAACCTGGATAAGCAGCATAGGCCCATTGCTTCATGATCACAGCTACTGATCCCCATTACTAGAAAGTCCAGTTCTAGCCTCACCTCCTCCTTAGGAAACTAGGACTCTCTCTGCCAATCAGTGTGATCAGTCTTGCCAATATGTCAATTTGGTGAACATTATAAGCACTGACTGAATGTCTCAAGGGAAGTTGGCCTTGCCCGGACTCTGGTGATTTCACAGAAGATGCCACAGACTCTCCAGGATATAACAGAATTTCCAGAGAAAGGACTTTTAGGGCCACAGTCAATGGTCATCTCCTATCTGATAAAAAGCTGTTCCCCAATTCACCAATAGCCAAGATGCCCTTTCCAGGATTCTTTCCTGAGACACAGGGGAAGGCCTTCAGCACCTCCTCCTTCTAATCCTGAGATCTCTTTGATTCATTAGAATCTAGTTCATTCTAATTCAATAGTTCATCATGTGTGGAAAGCAAGACTCATTTTCCACACATCGCCCAGGAATGGCTCTTCTCATCCTAATGATCCCCAACTAATGTGATGAGAAATTAAGGATGCTAAGAAATTAGCTCAGGACAATGGGGAGGGAAAATCAGTTCCATGAGTTGAACAAGCACATCAGAGAAGATCCACGGGGCTGTTACAATGTATGGTAGTAGTGGAGGATTATGTGGGTCCTGTCAGAACAATGATAAGTCACACAGGTAATGATGAAACTTTTGCCAAAACTTCAGCAGAATAATTCCAGCCATCATGATGTTAGCAAAGGTATTATCAACTACTGATAAGTATGACTGAAAGTACCTAACAACTGGGCATCCATAGGTGAGCCCTCAGACACCAAGAACAAATACTTACAGGAAGAGTGATGTCCCAGTCCTGCACTCAAGGTAGAGGAAAGAGGACTGCCTAGTGAGAGGGCAGGAACTCAGAAACCTTAGGCATCACTGGCATGTAGCAATGTTGGCTCCTGCCATGCTAGAGGTTGTTATTTAAAATGTGAGAAGCTCTATCTCTAGACAGGGGACTTTACTCTCCCTGCTATTAGTGACACACACCAAAAGAAATCCAGTGTGGGTGAAGTTCAGGGCTGGAACTGAAACCTCTTTAGTCCCTCTGTGCTTCCTTTCCACTCAGAGTGAAAGCAGAGTGCCCTCAACAGAGCAGCTTCAGACTTGACCATCCCTGGCTCTCTGCCAAACTAACCATGGGAAATCCTCATCTCTGGGTCTGCTCTTGAAGAACTCAGAGGACCAGGATAGGCCCATCATTGCTTCTCAGAAACTTTCCCTTCCTGAGCCCCACTCCTGGAAGGATCAGCTGAAGCCTTCCTCCTGCAAGAAGCTCCCCAACCCTTTCCCAGGACTCACTGTGCTTTCCCCAGAACCATTTGTTTCTTGGTGTGTGACTTGGAGGCTGAAGGCCATTTTCCTTCTGTCTTCCTCTGATCTCCCTGTGCTCGCCATCCTGTCTCCCAAGAATCCTGTTTAGTCTAGTCAGCATGTCTGTCAGTGAAACATGAGACACTGCACCAATGCCCCAATGACAGTTGGTGTTGCCACAACACTGGTGACATCACATGGAATGCTAGGGCTCTCCAGGAGACAGTAGAATGTCCATGCACTGATGTCACATGGTATATCTCCTACCCTTTGCTTTGCATTTAATATCCATTTAAGAGTAAGCACATACCATATTTGACTTTCTGGGTCTGTGTTACCTCCCTCAGTATCTTCTTCCATCCATTTGCCTACAAATTTCATGATGTCACTATTTTTTTTACCACTGGGTTATATTCCATTGTGTAAAGGTACCATATTTATATTATTATATCCTTCACTTGAGGGCCATCTAGGTTGTTTCCTGGTTCTGGCTATTAGAATAATGCTGCTATAAACAGGGTTGAGCAAGTGACCTGTGGCCTGATTGAGCATCCTTTGGGTATATGCCCAAGAGTGGTATAGCTGTGTCTTAATATAGGTAGATTCCTAACTTTCTGAGGTACTGCCCTATTGATTTCCTGAGTGGCTGTACATGTTTGCACTCCACCAACAGTGGAGGAGTGTTCCCCTTGCTCCACATCTTCTCCAACATAAGCTGTCATTAATGGATTTGATCTTAGTCATTCTGATAGGTATAAGTTGGCATCAGTGTCATTTTGATTTTCATTTGCCTGATGGCTAAGGATTTTGAGCAATTCCTTAAATTTCATTTTGCCATTTAATATTCTTCTGTTTCGAATTCCCTGTTTACACTGTACCCCATTTTTTAAATTTGATTATTTGGTAATTTGATGTCTAGTTTCTTGAGTTCCTTATATATTTTGGAGATCATCTCTCTGTCAGATGTGGGTTTGTGAAGATCTTTCCCATTCTGTAGGCTTTCATTTTGTCTTGTTGACCCTGTGTAGCACAAATCTTAACAGTTCATATTAATAAAAACAAACCTGGAACCAGGTATTGGGGTGAATGCTGAAAGATCAGAGAAACAGAACAAGCCATAGCTACCTTCAGCTTGCCAATTTCTCAGCCAATCCCATTTCCTCAGACTGGAAGCCTCTGAGTCCTCATCTGAATGTATCTCAGCTGAGTTGCTTCTAAAAGCTTAAACCTTAAAAAAGGCTCTAAGCCGGGCGTGGTGGCGCACGCCTTTAATCCCAGCACTCGGGAGGCAGAGCCAGGCGGATCTTTGTGAGTTCGAGGCCAGCCTGGGCTACCAAGTGAGCTCCAGGAAAGGCGCAAAGCTACACAGAGAAACCCTGTCTCGAAAAAAAACCAAAAAAAAAAAAAAAAAAGGCTCTAGTTCCTCATCCTCACACATTATATACCTTTCTGCTTTCTGCCTTCACTTTCTGGGATTAAAAGCTTCCCTCCCCCAGCTCCATTGGCACCTATATAACTGAAGAATTGTTGCTACACCAGTCTCTTGGCCTCATGGTCCCTTAGCCCAAGCAGGCTCTCTTGGTCTGTGGCTCTTCTCTTGCTCTTGCTCCTCTCTCTCCTCACATGGTCTAGCTCAGTCTGGTCCTGATAACTGTGGACTCTTCTGTGGGAGCCCGTTTTCTGTTTCCTTGTGGCTTTACCCTACAGGTCCAGATGGAGGATTATTAGGACCACGGGCCTGAGTGCAGGTGTCTGAGATGTTTGCACTTGGCTGTGCTGGGGGAGGAGGTCTTTTGCTCCACCCCTTGGTGTCTCTATAAAAACCCTGGGGCAGAGACAGTAGGGGCCCATTGGAAAATGTTATATGCTTCTCAAGGCTATCCTTTGTTTTTTATCTGTTTATCTCAGCAAGATTCTCTGCAATAAATCCTTCTATCTAATATTTCCTGCTGCTCACACTCAAGAAAACTCTGGGGAGCTGTGGGGTTTGTGGGTAAATGCCCCACAGAATGGTGCCATGAACAGGTACTAAAGAAAGAAAGGGGGGACTAAAGACAAATGAACAGGGACTAAAGACAAAGTAATAGGGACCAAAGATAAAGGAAAATAATCGTTTTATTACAGAGTTTTTGGTGAAAGTGCTGAGTCATCTCTGCCAGTGGAAAGGCATGCCAGAGTTATAGAAAATATATATTTTTATATATTATTGAAGGGCAGGGGTTTTATCCTTGAGAGTAAAGGAAAGCAGTCTGGAAGGATGTCAGATGCTGCAGCACAAAATTCTCTTTTGTCAAAATTTTCTATTTTCTATCCCTTTCTAAATTTCTATCTGTGAAAAATAAGTATAAGGTATAGGTTAGTAATATAGTGTAGGAAAAACTTAGAAGTGTAAGATCGTGTAGAAAAAAATAAGTCAGTCAACTAACTAGACAGAAAAACTCAATTTTATAACTTGGGGTGCTTTGAATACAGACTGGGGGAAAATCTTTCTTTGGGATTTACAGGTAGTATAAAAAGCTCTTCTCTGAGCTTATGGGGGAAGAAAAAGTTTCCTATGGAAGCTTTTGTCCTGGGGACAGCTGAAATGCTAAAGTTCAAGCAACAGGAGAAAGTGTTTTCTCCCTGAGGCAAAAATGGGGGTTGTAAAAAGCCAAAAAGTTTAAAGTTGGGAAGTTTTGGGAAAAGTTGGTCTTTCTCTTTTGGGGAAAAAAAAATCTTTCTCTTAAACTATAAAGCTTTTCTTCGGAAAAATTTGGGGAAAATCTCTCCAAAAACCCTTTATCTTTCTCAAAAGCTCTTAAACTTAAAACCTAAAGCCTTTAACTTTCTCAAAAGGGAAAAAATTAGAATCACCTGAAGATATTAGTATGGGGATCACCTATGATTAGCTCTAAGGGAAAACAACAAACTTCTTAAGACAGCAAAACTTCTCTAAGTTCTTTCAAGCTTTAACAATCCTCCCTGCAATGTGGGAGGCAGGGACAAGTTCCTAAAAACCTCTTCTAAGCTCTGTCTCTTCATGCTAGTAAGACAGTGGGTCAGAGTACCCAGAGGGAAACGTTTGGGAGAGTGTGGGTGAAGAGCTACAGAGAGCCCAAAAGGGCAGGAAACTACCTTAGAAAGGCAAAAAGACCAAGCTTTTCAGTTACAGTGAGCTGAGACATCAAAGGTTTTGTTTCTGAGTGAGCATTTCAGAATGAAAAGGTGCTCCTAATCATCCTAAATCAAAGATCCCCTGAAGCATTGCAAACTGTTAGCATTGTATCCTCTCTTCTGACCAAAAACCCAGAGGTGACTGTCCAGCAACTCTGAGTTGGGGAGCATTTCGGGGATACTAGGGTTTCTGCATTTGCAAACTTCCTGGAGCACAGAGCTGAGGCAGGAAGGTGCAGGACCCAGGGGAAGATTGCTAATGAACAAACAAAGCTAAAGCCGGTGGGAACAGCACAGTTGTCCACTTTCCTACAAGTCTTGGGTTGATAGGTCCATGGCTGCAAAAAGAAATCTGAGAAAAGCTTTCCTATCAGAGAAAGGACCTTTCTGGCAAAACAGTTAAGCTGAACTGTGTCTGAAGCAGTTGTGCTGCTGAGTCAGAACGCTGTCTGGGGAAAGAGCCCAGCCAGGGCAGAACAGAACTATCCAGGAGTAAAGCTTTCTTTTCTATCGGAGAAAGCATCTCTTTGAGAAAAGCTTTGTTTCAACTGACTCCCATGAGATGAGGGAGTGTAGCCCTAAGGGGTGATTGCTTCTGGCATAAGCTCTGTCCTTGAGCACCCAGACAAGCAAACACAACCCACTGGGGCACTGGGCCAGGTGAAGGCCTGATGAGGCAAAGCACCTGTCCTAATGGGTGTTTAGAAATGGCAAAAACCTCCTTTGTTAGATTTTCAGTCTGTATGCAAACCACACAGACCCTGAAAACAGACAGACAAAAAAGCCCCTACCTTCAGTAGCAGGGAAAGCCACCACAGTAGTGTTGGAAACTGTTTCTGGGGTAGAAGGGATAAACTGACCAAAGTGGGAGATGTCTGGGAGAAAGACTCTGAAGAAACAGAAGGGACAGATTGCCCCCCAGAAAATGCATGATGTGTGAAAAGCTGCTAGAATTTGAGGCAGATTGGGGGGGCGGGGGGGGGGGGAAGACCCTACTTCCAAAGGCAGCTAGCAGAGGTACAGAGCCGCAGACAGAAAGCTGAAGCTCTGCATGGGGGCGGGGCGGGGGGCGGGAACAAGCAAAATGAGAATAAAATCAGTGGGAGAAAATCTCTCTGAAAGAGCTATGGAAAAGCTGTTGTAAATGATCTTGTTTTTCACTGACTGGCTAAAACAAACACAAGCCCCAAGGAAAGTTGCTATCAAAATGCCAGCCTCAGTGC